TATATATATATATATATATATATATATATATATATATATATATATATATATATATATATATATATATATATATATATATATATATATATATATATATATATATATATATATATATATATATATATATATATACATTATGACGTATATGGGTGAGTGGCGATGAATTGTGGTGAGAATGTAGAATATGTGTATTTTTATGCTAACATATATAATTATATGCATTGTTATTATGATAATATTTCTCACTCTTCTGTTGTTTTATGATGCTCTATGAGGCATTGCAGAGTAGGTATGCTGGTGGTCTTTTTGTGAAGCGTGTCTTCATTCTTTTGGTCGATCGCCTCTGATATGTTGCACCGGGTAGCTAGGATGATTATGATTCTTTTGTGATATATTTGTACATGTGTCTTGTTGATGAATGTTTATGTAAACATGAATTATGTTGGTGGTTCATACTCGATGATATATATATATATATATATATATATATATATATATATATATATATATATATATATATATATATATATATATATATATATATATATATATATATATATATATATATATATATATATATATATATATATATATATATATATATATATATATATATATATATATATATATATATATATATATATATATATATATATATATATATATATATATATATATATATATATATATATATATATGTTTCATGTTATTCAATGTTTAGATTTTCGGCTTTTATTCTAAATATTGAGATGTGGGTGTAAGGACTAAGTTCCTCTGTTGCAAAGTTACCCCACTGTTGCATATCAACTGTTGAGCAGGTGTTGAATGTTTTAAATTCATGTATAATGTGACATACCTCTTTTATACTATGTTTATAATTATACTCTGGCGAAATTTTTAATATGTGCATAAATGACTATGTCCTTACGCCCACATCTCAATATTTATGATTAAAAACAAAAATGTAAACATTGAATCATTTTAAACATGTAATCACATAAATACATATTATCCAGTTTGATCCACCATATCATTCATGTTTTACAAAAATATTGTCATCAGACACATATACAAATGTATCTCAAAAGAATGCTATACAACCTAACTAACCGGTGCTACATATCAGAGTTGACCAACAAAACAATGAAGCTATACTTCACAAAAGACCTCCAGCAACCTAATCTGCAATGCCTCATAGAGCATTACAAAACAGCAGAAGGGTGATAAATATTTTCATAATAATCAATGCATATAATTATATATATATATATATATATATATATATATATATATATATATATATATATATATATATATATATATATATATATATATATATATATATATATATATATATATATATATATATATATATATATATATATATATATATATATACACACACACACACACACACACACACACATACACAAGTATAGAATACCTATATTCCACATTTTTCTCACCACAATTCATTATACTCACCATGTACATCTCAACATATCTATAAACAAATATGGATAATCATCAAGCACATTCATCATGCACACATCCATAATTCTCAACCCCACAATTCACATACAAACATACTTTCATATAACAATGATATCTATGCCATGTGACTCAATACAACTCAATGCAACTCAATGCCATGTGGTACCAACACTTGTTATCATTTTTTGGTTTTTACACTTAAACCGGATCCACCCTTCTAGACCGATAACAACAAAATCCCGTCCTCTAAACTTTCAAACTCACCCTTCTAGGTTTGGGACAAGTCACTAGTCTCCACGAAACTAGCAAGCATTGCCTCTTGACCAAATGATGCATATGCAATCAACCACCAAATGCACTTAAGACCGTTCTCGCATCTTAATCCCATGCATTCTCAAATAATTCATCACATAAGAATTATAACCATGATTGCACACACAACATATTCATATTTCAATATCATCAATAAAATTATCAACTAATGCACACATATTCACAATATGTTCTCATGCATTCCTCACATACAATCGCATACAAACAATATGCATTCACAATATCGCGCCAACGGCAACGAACTCAATCACATTCAACACATTCAATCCATATACATTCTCCGAAATTATGCCAAACGGCAACCGAACACTCTAATAATTTAAGCCTCACTTAATCAAAATAATTAATCTCGATTAATCGGTAAAATCGGCTAAAATAATATTTCTTTTCACCAAGTTATAGAATATATTATTAGCTTCAGTTTGATATAAAGAACAACAAAATCCGATAAACGGTGAAGAAGTTATGAATTTTCAAAGTTTTGAAAAATAGTATTTTTCCTCACACTTACATTGTTAACCGGTTAACCCTATACGTTAACCGGTTAACGCACTCAAATTTTCAAATCCCCGGCGCATTAACTTTGTGTTAATCAGTTAACACATATGGTTAACCGGTTAACACCTGGAATTTTTGTAAAAACAAGCTACGGGTTTGTGCCAAAAACCCCCCAAAAACTCGACCGATTTAATTATTTTCTCCCGATTAAATACCTACTCATCATTACCCATTATATAGTAACAATTTAGGACCATAAAACGCAAATTCTATGACTTCCGATTTTCATCCAAAATCTTAACCTCTAATTGACCGAAAATGTCAAAACTCACAAATTCAACCGAATTCGATCAAACGAAAACCAATAGTCACGGCTAAACATTACCCGACTAAACTACACAATTTATTTTCGATTCTAACCGTTCAAAACTCGATTCTAACCGATTAAACCTCTTTCTGCCCTAAAATGGAAAGTGAGTAAAACTCTCCAACAATCCAAACCAATCCAACAAACACATACATAAACACACACATTGATAGTATAACAATATTTCACACCCTTACATTGATTAAATCGGAGCTAGAAGTTGTTCTTGAGCTTTTTCAAGTTTTTCCTTCTTCTCCTTCTCTTTTCTCCTCTTTCTCCTTCTTTCTCTATTCTTTCTCTTATGTTTCTATCTTTCTCTTTTCTTTCCACTTTTCCCTTATATGTCTTTCCCTTCTAATTCTCTCCAATATCTTCTCTCAAATCATCTATCAATAATTCCAACAATTAAAACAATCCCAATAAATTGATTAATTAACATAAATATATAATTAATGAAAATTGGGCTGTTACAACCCTCCCCCACTTTAGGAATTTTCTTCCTCGAAAATGTTTCCTGATTCAAACAGCTCTGGATAAGACTCACTCATCTGGCTCTCAAGTTCCCAAGTCACATTTTCACCATCCGGTCCTCCCCAAGCGACCTTCACCAAAGCAATCTCTTTGCCTCGAAGTTGCTTCAACTCCCGATCCTCTACCAGCATAGGTAATGTCTCCACAGTCAGGTTATCTCTCACCTACACATCATCTACTTGGACTACATGAGATAGATCCGCAATGTATTTTCTCAACTGCGATACATGGAACACGTCATGGAGATTAGCAAGCGACGACGGTAAAGCAACACGATAGGCTACCTCTCCTATCCTCTGCAAAATCTGATAAGGACCAATAAAACGCGGCATCAACTTACGCGACTTCAAAGCCCTACCAACACCAGACATCGGAGTGACTCGGAGAAACACATGATCTCCCTCCTGAAATTCAAGTGTTTTCCTCCTCTTGTCATGATAACTCTTTTGACGACTCTGAGAAACCTTCATCTTCTCTTGAATCATCTTAATCTTATCGGTAGTCTGCTGGACTATCTCAGGTCCAACCACAGAACTCTCTCCCGACTGATACCAACACAATGGCGTCCTACACCGTCTACCGTACAATGCTTCAAACGGTGTCATACCAATACTCGAATGAAAATTGTTGTTGTAAGTAAATTCAATCTAAGGTAAGTAGCTATCCCAAGCTCCTCCCTTCTCCAACACACAAGCTCTCAAAAGATCCTCAAGTGACTGGATAGTCCTCACAGTCTGACCATCGGTCTGCAGATGATACGCTGAACTCAAACGCAACTTCGTACCCAAAGCACTTTGCAAACTCTCCCAAAATCTCGAAGTAAACCTCGGATCTCTATCTGACACAATGCTAGACGGAATACCATGCAAACTCAGTAAAAGAAAGTAACGAGCCTTTCCAAGAGGCAAGCTTGTTAATGACCTTATCCACAATAGAACGCAAATGAACCACCTTTAGTTTGCCCTTAAAGATAGTGACTCCAAGATACAAAAACAGGGAAGAGCCTTTCTTGAAACCGGAGAGCCCTGTCAAAATATTCAATCTAAAAGACGACATAGAACCTCCGTAGATGAAAGACTTATTACAATTTACTCTTTTCCCAGAGACATGCTCATAATCTTCAAAGGCAGTGATAAGATTTTTGATATTTGAGATTTTTTCTTTGCATAATATAAGAACATCATCAGGGTACAAAATATGAGAGGGCACCGATATGTTATTAGGACCTTTGATTGGATCAAGATTCTTAGAGGCGACAAGCTGAAGAAGCTTCCTGCTAATGACCTCTTCCGCGAGACAAAAAAGCAATGGCGAAAGCAGATCACCTTGCCGGACACCTCGAAAGTAAGTAAAATAACCATAAAGAACTCCGTTAATATTAATCGACAAATGAGCAGATTGAAGGAGAATTTTGATCCATAAGCATAATTTTTCATTGAACCCGAAAAAATGAAGGAATTTCAAAAGAAACTCCCAATTAAGTGTATCGAAAGCCTTTGAAATGTCAACCTTAAGTACCACATTACCACACCAAGCCTTAGAATCAAGCAAATTAAACGCCTCAGACGCCAGATCAATGCAATCATAAATATGTCGACCTTGAATAAAACCCCTCTGCTTCTTTGAAATAAGAAAAGGCATAATGACAGCCAGGCAATCTGCCAAAAACTTCGTAATAATTTTGAACTTGAAATTAGACACTGCAATAGGGCAAAAAAGATCCAAGGAGGCAACACCCTTGACTTTGGGAATGAGAATAATGGTGTTGGCATTAAAACTAGGCAGCACCCAACCAGTATTGAAGAACTGCATTTGACACGTCATGTTTGATAATATCCCAATATGTTTGAAAGAAAACCGCACCGAAGCCATATGGACCAAAGGCACTACTTTTATTGAGATTGAAAACCGCAGTAGAAATTTCATCTAAAGAGGAAATGGATGTTAGAATATGATTAGTTGTATAATCCACAATCGACGGAATTGTGTCCTCCACCATTTTAAAGTCCTGCAAAACAGAAGAGTTTGAAGAAAATAAGGATTCAAAGTATTAGACAAAATACTCTGCAATGTCCTTTGGATCGGTTAGCACCGCATCTCCATTCATGAGCATAGAAATCGGTCTGAACTTTTGCTTGATCTTAGAGATGCGATGAAAGAACGTAGTATTTCTATCACTCTCTAAGGGCCATTTAACTTTGAACTTGTCCCTCCAAAATTTCTCCTCCATGGCTAAAGCAACATTGAGAGATGACTAAGCATCAAACTCATGCTGCTTTAAAATCTTTCATACCATCAAGATGAATGCAATCTTGAATTTTCCCCAATTTTTTTCAGCTCTACGGACATTTTCAGTGATATTTTCGAAAATAAACTTATTCCACCCGCGGAGCTTCCTCTTTAGAATTTGCAGGTTCTTGTTTAAATATGATGAATGAATAAAAGGTAGAAGAAAATATGATGAATGAAATGAGAAAATATTGAGAAAGGTTGAAGAAAATTTGCACGGATAAAACGTGTTATGGGTTTAAGAGCTAGGTTCTATATTTGTTGTGTTTTTATTTTTTATTTTAATTATATAGATTTTGTTGCTATATTTTGTTTGTTTATTTATTTATTATTAAATAATTAATGATGTGTATTTATAAATACTATTAGATTTTTTTAAAATCATCAAATAATGTGCCACATTATTTTTAAAAATGACACATCTTTGCATTGTCTTTTTCTAATGTGTAGGTTATTTAATTTTTTTTTTTTTTTGCATATAATCATTTTTTATCAAAAACTATTAAGGAGAGTAAAGCTGTTTAAAAATAAAATGAGGACACTAATTTTGTGAATGAGTTAAAATAAAAGAATTAAAAGTGTAACTTAAAAAAAAAGTTATCGATTAAAATTTAAATAACTAAAAAATAAAAAACTAAATTCTCCATAAAAATCAATTTCTACTAAAACTTTCATGGCATGTCTCGGTTATAATTGCAATAAAATATTATTTACGTTTGAAAATCTCACATGGCATTATTATTATTATTGCAATTAAAGAAAAATCTTTTCATCATCAACACAAACCCTGATTTATCATCACTTTTGTTCAATCCTAAATTTATCTCTATTCATCATCTTCAACACCCAAATTCATATTTGCTCCTTGAAGCTTGTTCAATCCATAAACTTATAAATTTAGATTTCGTGAAATTTGTACCACTTCTAGAAAAATTATTAAATAGAAACAATTACGATTTTTTTATTAATTAAAAAATAAAAATAAATTTTCTCATATCACAATCATCCATGAATTCAATTTAAAAAAATCAAATTTTAAATAAATTATTGAGTGTTTCAACTTTCCAGGCCACCTGTTATTATTCCCCTTAAAAATCAATTTTATTGAAGATTGTCTACTATCTACCTAATACTAAACTATTGAATGCATTGTCTATCTTACCCTTTCACCAACAAAACTTTACACTACTAAAAGGGTTTTTTAGTAATTACCAAAACACACAATTTCACCACTACATCCTCCTCATTACAGCACACGTGTCATTTTCTGGTTTGTTGGACTTAAACAAAATGTTTTTCCCCTGTTTCTATGTTCATCGGACACCGCTCCAAAGTCTCTCACTTTTCACTTTTCGCTCCAAAGCCTCAGAAAGGTTTCATCTTCTGGTTTGTTGATATAACCTCATTTTGCTCACTAAGTCTCTCACTTTTCACTTCAAGAACATTTGTGTCCACTACATCTCAGCATACATTACAAGGTTAGATAGTAGATTCTCAAGAAATCATTATTCCAACTTCCATTCCCTTGCAAGGTTAGTTCAATGTAAGACGGTTTTATTCAATATATCTGGAATGTGGTAATGTTTATCAATCATAAATGATTGTTTATTAGTTAGTGTTTATTTTGTGACAGATCTTTTTAGTGTTTATCACTTTATGTTTTTTTGAAATATCATCAAGATATGAGTGTTTGTGTTCTGTTTTTTTGACTTATTCATGTTAAAATATCAACAATATTTCACTTTGTTTGGTTAGTGTTTCTCTTTGGTCAGTGTTTTTTAACAATGCTTTGTGTTCTGTTTGGTTAGTATTTCATCATGTGTTCAAAATATCACCACAACATATTAAAAAACTCAAGGTCTAAAATAAGTTTGACAGAAATATTTGACATGTCCACCACCATTGTCTCACATTTTTTTAACAGTTATGAAATATGGTTTGTATGTTTCAGATAGAAATGGAATTTTTCATGGCTTCTGTCTACTGTCATGGAAAGAGTTTTAAAAAATCAGATTTTATTTTTGTGACCTATGTTCTTGCCCTGTTATTTTTGTGAGCTTTTATTTTCAGCTGTTATTTGATGTTTGACCTGCTTTGTCATTGTGATACATTGTTCAGTTTTTGTCTCAAACATGTCAAGGCCTCCAATCTTTATCAAGGATTTGGTGAAAGGTAATCAAGTTTGGAAAATGCACGTACGCGTTGTTGATCTTTGGGTTGTTAAGGAGAAAAGTGGCCAACAACATCTCGAGTTGGTCATACAAGATGGAAAGGTAATACTTTGCGACTTTTGATGCACTTATATCACTTTGTTGTTGCTATTTAATAAATGATATAACAGGGTGATCAAATTCATGTTGTGACGAGGAACCGAGATTTCAAGGAGTGGGTTGAGCAACTTAAGGAACATGACACTTACGCTGTTTATAATGGAGAACCGGTGGTTAATGATGGCTCATTCAAAGTTTGTTCCAATAGCCTTAAACTTGTCTTTAATGGAGGAACAATAATTTCAAACATTGCCATGCCGAAAATACCTCCCCATCAGGTCAAATTCAAGGCTATTGGAGACTTTCTCAATGGACTTTTCATGATTGATATGTTACATGGTATTTTTTTCCTTTTTGCATACTAAAAAATCTTTGTAGCCAATATGTGTTCATTATGTTTTCGTTGATGCTTCAGATGTGATCGAAATTTTACAAGATGTTGTGCAAACTCAAATGGGTGGTAATGGAAAGAAATCATGTGCCAATATTACCTTGTGTGATGAACCTGGTAATGTCATTGAGGTTGCATTATGAGATGATTATGGTAAACAGTTTATGAACTACAATAACTCTAACAAGAATGATGGGCCAACAATACTTATTTTGACACATGCTTGGTGTAAGAAAAATTCAGTTTTGCTATGTTCTTAGACAAACTCTATTTTTTCATTGTTCAATCATTCTTCTTTCTTATGCAGTCTAACTACACGTCTTTGTCTATATATCAGCTTCTGGACTCCCAAGCCTTTCAAATGCTTGGAATGGCTCTAGACTTCACATTAACCTAGATCATCCTCAAGTTCAGTGCTTGAAATCCAGGTAGTAAAGTTTTCATATTTCGTAACTTGCATTTTACTTCTAACTGTTTTTTATTCTAACAGTTTTGTATTCTAACAGTTTTGCATTTTACTTCTAACAGGTTTGTATTTTGTAACACAACTCATATTAAAGTTTTGTAGGTCAATTTCATAATAGTTTTGTATTCTAACTTGCATTATACAACATTTTACTTCTGTCACATTATGATAGAAAATTCTGATTTTTTTATGCATAGCAGTGGTGCTTGAATACAACTATCAACTGCATCCTCACATTCTCTGAGCCAAACATGTGATTCATCTGTTCAATCAACAAACAAAAGTTGGACCAGCCCCAATGAGGTCAAGACTATTCGTCATATCAATGAATTGGGAAAGGATTGTTTTGCCATGACAATTGGCACTACAAAGAGATTCAAAGCCTCCAAGTTTGGATGGTATTTTGAGTCTTGCCCTACTTGCAAGATCTCTAACAAGTCACATGGAAAGAATTTTGAGTGCATTTGTGGAGTGAAAGATGTGAAACCTATCACTAAGTAAGTTATCATCCAAATATACATCTATGCCCTCATGTGTATTCACACACTGAACTCAATTGAACTCACTTTATTTTCTTCATGTTTTAGATTCAAAATAGAAGTTGAGGTTGACTATGACAACCTAGTTGGGTGCTTTGTGTTTTGGGATAAGGATTGTATCCCTTTCATTCAAATGACAGCACTAGAGTTAAGACAACTCACGAAGGAGGTATGTACTTCAAAACCAACATTTCATAATGTTTTCATTTTTCTGTTATATTATGCTATTTAACATTCTAACCATGTTGCTGACCTAGGCTGGAGAGGACAACCCTAAAATATATCCAGCACAGCTTGACAAATTGTTGAACAAAGAACTAGCATTTCGAGTCAAGTATCAATCTTTTTTTCAACAATAACTCAATTGTTACCATCATTAAGGATGGTGATGTTTACAAAACCTTGAACAACTTGCTTAACCCTGATGAGTACATACCATATATTTACACTGCATCAATTATGGATTAGGTCAGCATAATCCTTAATGATTGGATAATGGGTTTTTAATTTTTTCCCAGCATACTTCAAATGCTGAAAACTTGAACTTGGACACATCCATTCCAATGGAAGTTCAAGACCCACCTATTTTATGCCCTCAATTATATATAACTATTTTTTTATTTGTTTACATCATATTGTGCTCATGAGACTGTTATTGTATTTATGTCCATAATTGTTAACTATTAATGTGTTTATGTGTAGTTGACACCAACTGCTGAATATTCCATCTCTGCTCAACTATCCAACTCTTCCAACCAAACTTGGAGTCCATCAACTAGCTCCAGCAACACCCCTGCTAAGAGGGTTGCAATTTCAGCATCTCTTGATAAGTTGTTCCAGAATGAGGTCATAACTCCCAGGCAATCCACAACTAAAGCTAAACACCCAAAGAAGGAGTGGTTTTATGGCCTTACCATTACCACTTTCACATTTTGTTGCCCTTTGTATTATTTTGTTGACACCATTTGAATATGGATTGATTCTAAACCTTAAGCCATATTATTAATTTGGTTTTTCATTTTGAATGTTTTCTTATTGATCTAGCTGGAACTAATTATATCATGGATTATTAGTTTTGTAATGAATCTTCCAAGCTTAATGAACCACTTTATTTATAATGAGTCTTCCAAGTTTCTTAGTTTTGTCATGAATCTTCCAAGCTTGATGAAAACAATTATCATTTATACCAACTGTCCTTTGAAACTTACCACATATATGCTCACATTCTGCAAGTTTCTTAATATTTTGATATGTTTAAAATATCTACTCTTACTG